CTGCCAGGCCCCCTTAAAACGGTTCGTTCTAACACGCCCCCACATATCTAGGTCACTATGTGGAAATATTAGCATAATGTCGCCCAAATGTGCACGCAAAGAAAGAAGGCGTGGTTTCAGTAACCGCAGTTAGTGTTGAAGCAGCCATGTCAGGGAGACGCTGTGTGTTTCTAGGCGAAAGCAAAATCACTTTATTTGGCCTTCCAGTTTTAAAAATAACTTTATATTATTTTTTCTATTCAAACCGGTTTCCGAATGGTAATAATACAGAGGAATGCAGGAACAGAAACATTAAAATATCGATTCTACTTGGAGTGAACCAATTGTTGTTGTTTTTTTATGTATTTTTAAGCCCTGTTACGATATGGCGTGAACACAATTAAACATTCACAAAAACAGCTAATTTTCATACTCAAGAAATACAGTGAATTTTCATACTCAAGAAATACCACCGCACATATATATAAAAAAAAAAAATAAATACAATAAAATAAAACCGTAATATTCACATGATAAATACCTTGTATTTTAAGGATCGAAGGATTACTTTTATGCATTATTTTAAAATGTTTTCACATAGGATACCCCTCCTGATGGCATATTTATGTTCAACCAATAGATCCAGTAAGAGTATTTTTGTACTCCCAATATAAAATAACTTACATTGAGGATATTCTTGTCCATAAATAACATTAGTAGTTTGACAATTATTAAAATGTTTAATAGACTAAATCTTGTCTGTATTTTCATCTAAGAATGTTTTACTTTGTACAACATTATGGCAATAAAACAACCCTTAGGTTTATCCCCAAATCAAGAACTTTCATGGGTAGGTGGTAAATAACTATGTACTTTTACTCATAATACTCAATATCAACACATGACAAATTAAAGGTGCAGTAGGAGATTTTGGAAAATGCTAACTTTAGCCTGATAGCACTGAAAGCGAACGTCCCACCCTCTCTGCAATCGCCGTCCAAAGCCACGCCACCTGAACACATATATGCTCACAGACCAGAATACCAGACGCAACATTACAACAATAGGCTACATCAGCAGTTCCCAATTCCAGCCCATGTTCCAAAGTGAAGTAAACTTCAACGGATTTCCCCTGCTCAGGGAGGAGGGAGTAATGAACACTGTGTAGGGAGCATGTGAGTCGGAACACAGTTCATGCACGTAGCTCACTTCTAACGAGCTGGTTATCTGAATCGGGTGTGTTAACTAAGCGAGACATGCAAAATATGCAGAGCCGTGGGCACCAGGACTGGAATTGGGAACCGTTGGTCTACATCATGTGTCATTCACCGGTGAGAAAACTTTAAAAGTACTACAATACCAGGAAGGAAGATCGGGTTGTTGATGTTTGTCTGCCATTCTTGTTCTGTCTGCACAACGTGCGTGAACGCGCAGATGACGTATCCTGTCTGCGCGAACAGAGGTATGCTAATACATTGACAGGCAGGTAGGAAAGCCAATTAAAATGCTCGGACCGGGCGTTTTGATTGAACGAACATTTCTTGGTCCTACGCCTTCCACAGAATATATAAATACAGGTAAATATATTTAGATCACTTAACTTAATGATTGCTATCTGGATGTATAGAGAATTTCAACCAGCATAAAACAATTTCTGAAGACAATCACCTATTGCACCTTTAACTCCAACCTAGAACTACAAGTGCATCCAAACTTTACCTGCATACATACAGGACACTCATAACTCTCTGACTCCAACAGTGGAGAACAATTTGCTACATTATGAATGGATCTTGGTGCACTACCACTAAAAGAAAAACACCTTCAGATAAGGCTACTATGGTAACTGCCATCCTCCTCTTAAAGGGCTAGAAGAACACCCCTACTAAGCCCATGAAGGACAGGATTTCTCATCTCATCTCATGTAATTTCGATCTTGAAACAACCACCTACAGTTTTAGTCTGTGACCATCATAAAAATGTATTTGGACCTCCGGACGTAGCAACAGTATTAAAACAAAGAGAGGCCACGTGAATCTACCTAAATCCATTAAAACATCTTCTTGTAAATGTTAAAATGTATGTAACCTACAGCAAACCTATTTCATACTTATTCAGAGAAATAAGTAATGAGTAAGTGACAACTTACATTTGTAGCTGTTAACATACAAATGAATGCATGTACATTATTTTCCATCATTTTTGGACTCTTTGTGTTCAGGACATATGTATCCTGGTAGGGGCTTGGTAAGTGTGTAATGCATTGATAAACTTTTAAAGACAAACTCCATCACCCTAACTCCAGAACAGTTTTCCTAGTGTTGTTCTGGAGGCAGACACACTCTGCCACTTTAAATCTAGATTAAAGATTTCTTTAACCTAGCATACACAAAACACACTATCAATTTTTATGATTCAAATCCCTTAAGGAACTGGAACCAGGAACACTTCCCATAACCCCCGATGTACTTGTTACATCAAAAGAGAAATAGGATCTATGCATACTATGTTAGATCTATGTTAGTCTGTCTATCCCATCCAAGGTTACTGCAATCATCCAAATGCAAACTGCACCCAGGAAAGATCACAACAAAGCCCATGAATGTCAGTTAAGGCCACAACAATTGTGAATCTGTGCCAATGGCTTGTCAGCTATGAATAAGTCATGCCATGATAAGTGAGGATCACAAACTTTTAACAAGAAGCAGACATTTTAAAAAGAAGCATGATCATTGTACTGTCAGTGTCCTACTTCTGCCTGCAATATTTTTTTTTCAATATCTATACATTTACCACATACATTTACAGGAAGTGCTGTAAAGCACCTTTTTCTCACACCCATGAATTAAAAAAAGGGGGGGGGGCATTGACTTTTGGACGATGGAAATGGAAGTTCAAAAATGCTAACTTGTTTCTGGGTTTAAGGACTCATTCCTGCAGCACTCTATATCAAAAGCAAAAAAATACAAATATAAATATAAAATAGTGCTTCCATTTATGAGGCTGTCACATCAGTGCAGAATAAGTCCAGCTAAGAGTGGAGCCATCAGCTGATTATAGAAACTCACCAAGAGGGAGGTTATCTAATAAGCATATGTCCGCCAACATGAGAAATATCTGTACATACAAAAGGCAAATGGCAGTACCAGCACCACCATCAATGGCTTTGTAGCGCTTAGCTAAGGATCTTATTGAACATTGTGGCAGCATATGAATATACGTATGGCACTATAGTATCAATGAAGGCTCACCATCACTGCACCCCGAATATATAATATCTAACAGCTATAGAGAGGGCTTCTGCTATATGAAACAGTCCTAACAGACACATGGTCAAGGCTGTGGGTATTAGGCCAAGAGCCCTATGAAAGTACTACGGAGAGAAAGACTTCTCCAGTTTGAAGTACGCAAGGGAATCAATAATAGAGCTTGTAAGCTCTCCTGTGTAAGGTGGGCTTGCATCGCCACTGAGTCCAGCTCTATTTCTAAACAAGAAATATGTTGGCTGGGTTACAAGATGTTTTTTTCTGCATATTGAATGTAGGCCCTAAATGCTGAAGATAGTTAAAGAGCATTAGCTTGTGACTGCATTCTGATGCAGTCAATCACCTAGGTAATCCTACTCGCAAACTCCACTAATTTTTAGAGAGGAATAGCGGGTATCAACACAGTTAATTGAACATAAGATGAATAAAAGAAAATAATCTCTCAGGTCCACTAAAATAAACCAGTACCTTCAGCTGGAGATATGAGAGGAGGTGTTTTAATGTGATTCACACACTGAAATGTGTGATAATAATGTGTTCTATTTGAATATATTTTAAAATGTATAGAAAATGTAATACACATCCAAAGTTCTGGCATGAAACTCTAGATGGCGTGGGTCTAACTCAATCTGACATTATGACATCATCACATGGCACAGCTGATTAGTTCTCTCTTGTATTGGTAGCCTATGAGCTCGCTGCTGCTTGTGGTAGCAGTTGCCGTGCACTTCAGAAACATCTGAAATCAACATCTAAGATAAGATAAGTGAATGCTCTTTTAATCTATATCGCTGTGTTTAATGCGTGATCTGCCAACTAATATAAACCTTCAGAAGTCTCCCATCATACACCAATGGAGTACTTCTGAAGGTTTGTGTCAGAAGATATGATCAAGGCTCAGGCAGGTAACACCAATGAGTACAGTTTACAAAAGAAAGGAGCATTAATAAAACCATTATGAGACTATGGGAATTGAACATGGCTATGAACAGAGCAAGACATTGTAAATACCAGTAAATAGTCTTGATTTTTATAATAAATATAATATTCATAAAAACATGACTTGTGTGATTATTTGTGTATGGATATATAGGCTGCTGTTTTGGGGCTACATAAGCAGTATACCCTGCAAATAAACCCTTAGATCTTCTTTAGATTTGTTCAGACAGTAAAATCACTGAAATTCTGCTACCCCAAAGGCCCAACGTTGTAATATTACAACATTTCACTAAAAACATACTAAAATATAAAAAATGTTAAAACTCATTTATTTCTTCATTAGAGGCCTCCCACAACAACATTTAGATGGTGAAATATTTTTTTTTCACAGAATTTTTCTAAATTTTGGTCTTTCAGGGTTAACATTATCATGTACATTACCATGCAACTCCCTCAGAGAGTTGTCATTACAGAAATATAATTGTTTGTTTTCTTGGTTTTGGTAAAGTTTAGCAGGGCTCGACTATAATGGCTGGCCCATTGGTCTATAGCCAATGTAAGAGAGTGAGAGCTTGAAGGTCAAGCATTAGAAGCACATGCCAATTTTGTAGCAAAAGTGTCAGGCTTTAATGTAGTTACATTACAGCTGTAATTATTTCCAAATTGTTGCAAATTTTCTTTTTGTAAACAAAAGTTTAAATGAATAGGACTTATTTTTTGGCAAGCTCACTGAAAATGCTGTCAGGGCAGTAACATACTTTCCAAGAAACATCTCTTTACAAAAATATTATTGTTAAGTAAACTGATAAAATAAACCTTTGACGAATTTCTGTGTCCGTCATAGAGGACAGGCGGGGTAAACCATTTCTTTCATGATCATGAACCAGATTCTCTGGTATAGCTTCAACTTTTGAGAACACTCCTGAAAGAGAAAAAAGTTAAGCATGTTTTAAGTCCAAAGGAGATTTGCAGGTTGCCATTATACTTAAAATGTGATGATGAATTAGGGGAATTCTACAGTTTTATGGGAATTTTGCAGTTTCAAATTACTTGTAAGATTTATTGACTATACGTGTTATTTTATCTGAAAACATATCTTACCATTATGGACAATTAGTTATTTTACCTGAAGACATATCTTACCATTAAGGACAATTAGAACCTTCTTCCACTGTGTATTTCCAACTTTGGGTGTCTGACAGAAGAGTATTTTGTGCTTGTCACACACAAAAATGCGGTCCAAGACAAACTTGTCCACAGTTGTGTGGGTGAGGTTCCACATAGATGCATTTCTGCAAACAGTTGATAAGAGCTCCAGACGCTTCTCATTCATTGACTGCCAGTCTATGGGCTCCACCACAGAGGGACTAACGGAGGACTAACACCCACAACACAATCGACACACATGCACATATACATGAAAGCCAAAAACACACAATATATAACAAAAAATTAAATTCAAGTTGCTTTTAAATAAAGCAAATAAGTGAACCCAGTGTACAATGGCAAACTGTCTTACCAGTATATATGGCTGTGATGCTCCCTTGTCTGGCCACTGGACTGAAGTATGTTTCGTCGTAACAGATGGAAAGGTCCAAACAAACATCTCTCTCCTCTCCGCATAGTCTGAAAATGTATTGAAGGGAACTCTCAAAGTTGTGGGACATTTTAAATGACAAATACAACATAGCAGGGGTACAAATCTGGTTTGACAGGCGGTGGGGCCAAAACTGAGTACTGGGTGTAGGGGTGGAAGAAAAAACGATTCTCCAATGCAATGGAGCTGTATTCTACTTGCTGCCAATTAAACACAAACACACACACAACATTGGTTAAAGTCCCCCTGTAGTGAAAATCTATTTTTTTATGTTGTTTATTAGTCTATGTGGTGTTTTTAATATGTTTTTAGACAAATCAAGGGCCAATCCATTAATCAACACCATTGCTGAGAATATTCTCCTTAAAACTGTACTTTCCTAAAAGGCAGTCCCAGAAACTCGGTTTGAAACAGCCCTTTTTTTGCTATGTCAAAAAAATCAATAACCAATCACATCAAGGGATCCTATCATTAGCATATCATTAACTGTGCTCTAGTGAGAAGGCAGCCAGGTTAATCCGGTATATTTTTCTGATATTTCGCTAGCTGTTCACTATTTTCACAATAGCATGTGCTGTTAGTGCTTATTTATTTTATTGCACTGCTTGACAGTGTGCGGTATCAATCACTGGTATTTCAGTTTTTGTCTTGCAAGTGCTCTATGAAGGCATAATTTTTGCTGTTTGGAATGTAATATACATTTGATATATGAAACTCACTAATTGACAGACGACAGATTTCAAAAGCTCAAGTGCACTTGCGGCATGCAAGTTATGTCTTAAGGACTGGACATAACACCTGACATGTTAAAAATAGATCTGTGCATTAGTGTGAATGTAGCCTTACCACTGTCTATGACATCATCAGTAATATGAAAATATGTTTATTATTTATTTTAAAAAATGGTATTTCTAAAAAAAAAATATTTCCATTTGTTTTGTAAGTTTGGTCTGAGTTCTTGATGCTTTTACAACGTTTTCACCAGCAGGTGTTGCCAGCATGTGCTGTTTCAAGTGCTTCCAAACATCGAATCTTTTTTTTTTTTAAGCAATTGGTTCAATTGATTCAATTAAGCATTAAGCTTCGAAAAGCTTTGTTTCTCCCATCACTAGTTCGCTGTGCTGTATATTTCTGTTAAAATTGTTTTCTTTTGAGTTTAAGTTACCGTGGTGTGGGTTGTGTGGAGAATAGCGGAGGTTTCCGAGCTTCCGTTGCGGAAATAGACATTGTCTGTCTAAAGGACTGGCGTGCTGCTTTCACCACTCTTTAGTTCCGCTGACCAGTGGACTGATGAATTGTAGGGAGGATTGAGTTAAGTGGGCATTTCTTTCTAATTTTTAATTTCCTTAATTGTACTTTGGTTTAGCTTTTCTTTCTAAGACTTATATTTAATCTTTATTTCAATGGTTTAAATAGTTTGATATTTATATTTTTATTGTATTTTGTAGTTGTTTCTTGTTTTCCCCTCTTGTGTGCAACATGGACTAGTCAAGTTGAATAAATGTGCTCCTATTGTGTCATTTGTTAGGTCAGTTCAGTTTGTTTGTTATGCTTTCAGTTATTTTGAGTTTAGTTTTGTTCTGGTGACCTCTTTTATAGGCCTATAGGTTTTTATAGGTTTTTCCTATGCCCTACTATTTTTTGACTGCTGGGTCCCAGCAGGATAGGGATAGACCAGTAGGAGGCATAGTTTCCCAAAAATAATCCCCACCCCCTCACTTTTCTCTGCCATTTGAACTTCAAGCTCTATGCCCCATGAATCGGGGAGGACGGAAAGCAGCCCCAAAGACTGCTCTGGTAGAGGAACCTGAAGAAGTGTTGCAGGAGCTGGGGGAGGATGGAGTGGCACAGGATGCGAGAGAGGCTGAGATTATAGAGCCTGAAAGTAGAGAGCCAATGCTTGCTGACTTGACAGGCCTGTTCCGAGCACATATGGCATATGATCATTTCCACCACCTGTCGAAAAGATCTCTCTGAAACTCGTGAGACAGATCAGTGTCAATTTAAAGAGCCCAAACTTGAGAAGTTGTCTGAATCTGATGACATTGAGCACTTCCTAATCACTTTTGAGAGAATTGCAGCAGCTTGTCGGTGGCCAAAGGAGGATTGGGTCTTCCGCTTGATTCCTCTCTTGACGGGTAAGGCCAGAGCACCTTATGTTCATATGGATGTTGATGAGACACTGGAGTATGAGGAAGTTAAATCTACCATCTTAAGAAAATATGACATCAACCGAGAAACTTATAGACAAACTCTAGATGTTGAACCCCTTGAGAGTCCCAAAGAATTATATATGCGATTAAAAGAACTTTATGTCAAGTGGATGCAGGCAAAAGGTAAATCAGTTGAGGAAGTTATAATTCTGGAAGAGTACCTAAGAATGCTTTCTCCTGAGCTCCAGGTTTGGATCCGGGAACATGATCCGAAGTCTGCTTTACAAGCAGCAAGCCCTTGTAGACACAGGAAGTGATCAGACCTTGGTACATCACAAGTATATTCCACCAGCACAGCTCAACCTCAGTGATAAGAACTCCATTCGCTGTGTTCATGGTGATGGAAAAACTTCTTCCTACTGCAGAAGTGTACATTAAAGTGAAGGGACAAACTTCACTCTTCACACAAAAATCTGCTTGATGTGGGTGTATCAGACCATCTACCATTCCCTGTGGTTTTGGGTCATGATCTACCAGTGCTCTGGGACTTGTTGCAGTCAGTAACATCATGTAATATGCACCACAGCAACAGCAAGAGGTGAGGGCCATTTGCTTACCGGGAGTCTATTCAGAATACCCTGGGTTTACAACAATAATAGAACATGACATTGTATTGAAACCTGATGCTGTTGTAAGGAGAATGAGTTACCGTGTTCCAGAGCGTCTCCAAGAGTCACTAAAGAAGGAAGTTAAGATGATGCTGAAGTTGAGGATCATAGAGCCATCAAGTCAAGTCACCTTTATTTATATAGCGCTTTTAACAATACAGATTGTGTCAAAGCAACTGTACAACATTAATTAGGAAAATAGTGTGTCAATAATGCAAAGAGACAATAGTAAACACTAATTACCATCCAAGAGTGAGTGGTGCCACCCTGTGGTCCTGGTTCCAAAAATAGATGGCACAATAAGATTTTGTATAGACTTTTGTTACCTTAATTCTGTAACAAAGTTTGATGCTTATCCAACTCCCTGTATAGGCAACCTCACTGATCGCCTGGGTACCTCTGAGTTCTTGACAACCATCGACCTTTCAAAGGGTTACTGGCAAATCCCATTGACTCAGCGGTCCAGAGAACTGACAGCATTCAAAACCCTGTGGGGGCTATTTCATTTTAAGGTTCTCGCTTTCGGGCTGCACAGGGCACCTGCTAGCTTCCAAAAACTTATGGACCAGGTACTGCAGGGGTTGACCTATACAGCTGCTTATTTAGATGATATTGTGATTTATAGTAAACACATGGGAACAACATCTGCAGCATGTCCAGAAGGTTCTGCAACGGCTCCAGAGAGCTGGCTTGATTGTTAATCCACAAAAGTGTGTCATTGCAAAGACTGAGACAGAGTACCTGGGGTTTGTCATTGTCAATGGGGTAATAAGGCCTCAGGTGGAGAAGGTTCGGGCCATTGAAGGGTGCCCCCAGCCACGGACTCGCAAGGAGCTGTGATCATTTCTGGGCATGGCTGGATTCTATAATAAATTCATTCCCAATTTCTCCAGCAGGGCTGCAGCATTGACTGATATGGTGGGCTCAAGGCGTCCCAATCAGCTCCGATGGACTGAAGAAGCAAAAGCCGCATTCCAATATATTAGAACTGCCTTGAGCAATGAGTCTGTGCTGCATAATCCTAATTTTAACGAACTTTTCATTCTCCAAACAGACGCTTCTGACAGAGGCCTAGGAGTCTTTTTGTTGCAGGGTGCCCCTGATGCTCGGCGTCCCATTGCTTTCCTCAGTCGCAAGCTCTTCCCTTTTCCACTATTCCATCATGGAAAAGGAATGCTTGGCTGTGAAGTGGGCTTTGGACTCCCTGAAATACTATGCTTGGGAAGGGAATTTATACTGGAGACTGATCATAAGGCTCTACAGTGGCTTCAAAGAATGAAGGGCACTAACAGCCGAATCACTCGCTGGTACCTTGCCATGCGACCGTTTTGCTTCACCATCCAACATGTCCCTGGCAAAGCAAATCTTACAGCGGATTACCTTTCCCGTCGTGCCAGTGACATTTTCGAAGGGAGGGAGTATGTGATGGCCCATGATGCGGACACACATCAGTGAGCGGTAACGTGCATATTTACACACCCACACCCACACACACATATATTACACGCATAGGTAAGCATTGATTACCAAAATATTTTATTTCGGTTGTTTGATACATTTATTTAATGATTTTTTATTTATTTTTATTATATTTAGTAATAAGACAGACTCGGTTTCTTTTTTTTCATTTAGAATATTTTATTAAATATCAGTACATGTTAACTAGTTGGAGTGCACACAATTTAGTTCGCTGTGCTGTATATTTCTGTTAATATTTTGTTTTCTTTTGAGTTTAAGTTATCGTGGTGCAGGGTTGTGTGGAGAATAGCGGAGTGGAGCTTCCATCGCGGGGTCCATCCGTCTAAAGCAGTGGTCCCCCCCACCGGGTCGTGACCCACTACCGGGCCGTGGAAAAATTGCTACTGGGTCGCAAGAACGTTCTGGGAAAAATGTGTATAGATATGAAACTGTTATTTATTTATGTTAATGATTGTTCTAATTATTCTGCATTTTCTTTGTATGCGATTGATATGGAGTAGCAATTTGACAATTTATGTTAAATAAGTAAATGAAAGATTGCTCTGATCTGTCACATATTAGGAGTTAAACGGATCGCAGTTGATCCATAATACGTCCGGATGAGACCCTACCATTCAGCACACACGTGATTCGCAGATTAATTTGCCAATTTACACGTACAAGCAATTTTAAACAACAAGAAGAAGAAACGAAAGAGATCTCAATTCGTTACTCACGCGCTGTTCTCGC